TCCCACGGAAGGCAGCTCAGATTAGATATCCTTGTAGGGCTGCAAGCATCTGCTGGACACCTCTTTATCAGGCCAGGCCCAGCTCTGGGAATGCCAGAGCTCTGTGCTAAGAGTCTCCAGAACACACTGCTGTGTTTGAAAGTGCAGTGCAGCACATTTTCAGAGCTGACTTTCTTCAGTGCTTCCCAAATTCCCAATTACCACAACACAAATTTCTTCATCCTGGTCATCATCAGCCTGGCATGCTCAGTGAGCAGAGAAACGCCAAAACTTCACAAAACAGCAGCTGCAGCTTCTCCAAGGGAAAAATATAAAAAACCCCAACACCCTGAGAAGCTCTCCAGCCCAGCTTCACATCCCACAGAAAGAGGAAAATGTGCAGGAAGGTCTGGGAATGCTGCAGTGTTGGCATCACATCTCTGCACAAACCACTGATGGATGCTGAGTCAACACAGGCTGAAAGCCACTGCTTCTAGACACAAATATATCACTTACATGATATATATATGTCACTTCTAAGCTAGAAGGAACGTGAAGTTTCTGGAATTACACATATTTTCCTTCCTTTTCAGCAAACTAAGAATTTACAGAGAGAAGGTCCAACATAAACTCTCATTTGCAGTCCCATCAAGGGGGAAGGATGAGATGGGAGTTGGTTGAGTCCAGCTCCCCAGAAAAGCGCTGGTGGTGAGGGCTGCTCGTTTGCTTTTCATTGCAAAGCTGGATGAACCAAACTCCAGAGCAGAGGAGAGCTCCAGCAGCCTTCCTCACCATCTGCTAGTGGTTAGCAGGCCAAGATTAAACCATCCAGCCTCAAAGCTAAAAAGAAATTCTCACCATTGCTGTTTGTTCAGCTCCTCCCATCTCCTCTCCAGCCAGGCAATAATCTGGCTTTCACCCATGGATTGTCCAGTGGGTCTGGGAGCTATAGCTGTTCCTGTCTCTAAAAACCCAAATTAGGGTTTTTCAGTTGGTGAAAGGCCAAAGGGCACAGAAGAAATCCCATCCCTGCTCCTGAGGAAATCAGGGGGATGCCATGGAGCAGCAGAGGCTGCTGGATATGGTTCACCCTGAGAAAAGCCCATCCATAATAAGAATTTCATCAAGAAGCTCCTTCTACAGCTTTCATCCCTGGCCTCAGCAGTCCCCAGCTCACACAAGCAGATGGGGAAGTGGAGAAGAACAGAACTGAAGACCAGAGTGTGCAAAGGTTCCCAAGGTCAGTACAAAGGGATCAGACACTCACTAGGCCAGAACCCAAGGAAGGCATCAGGAAAACTGCAGAGACAATCTGTGAAGAACAAGAACCCAAGGGCTTGTCACAGCAGCAGCCCTAAACCCAGGAATTCCCCCAAAAGCAGCCCCCCTGGCTGTCAAGGAGAAAAGGGGCTGGATCCGGAGACCTGCTAAAGTGTCCTTCAAATAGCATTGCTGGAGAAGGGACTGCCCCTCCTCTAAAGGCCACGGAAGGTATAAACCCAGGAAATTTCACCAACAGAGGCAGGGAGGAGAGGGGAAGGTAAAAAACCAGGAAATTTTACCAACAGAGGCAGGGAGGAGAGGGGAAGGTAAAAAAAACAGGAAACTTCACCAACAGAGGCAGGGAGGAGAGGGAAAGGTAAAAAACCAGGAAACTTCACCAACAGGCAGGGGTGGGAGGTGAAGGAGCAAAGCAAGGGGAGAGGTGAAGGTGCAAAGCAGGGCAGAATTGAAGGTGCAGAGCAGGGGCAGAATTGAAGGTGCAGAGCAGGGGCAGAATTGAAGGTGCAGAGCAGGGGCAGAATTGAAGGTGCAGAGCAGGGGCAGAACTGAAGGTGCAAAGCAGGGGCAGCATTGAAGGTGCAAAGCAGGGGCAGCATTGAAGGTGCAGAGCAGGGGCAGAATTGAAGGTGCAGAGCAGGGGTAGAACTGAAGGTGCAGAGCAGGGGCAGAACTGAAGGTGCAGAGCAGGGGCAGAATTGAAGGTGCAGAGCAGGGGCAGAATTGAAGGTGCAAAGCAGGGGCAGAACTGAAGGTGCAAAGCAGGGGCAGCATTGAAGGTGCAGAGCAGGGGCAGAACTGAAGGTGCAAAGCAGGGGCAGAATTGAAGGTGCAAAGCAGGGGCAGCATTGAAGGTGCAAAGCAGGGGCAGCATTGAAGGTGCAAAGCAGGGCAGCATTGAAGGTGCAGAGCAGGGGCAGAACTGAAGGTGCAAAGCAGGGGCAGAATTGAAGGTGCAAAGCAGGGGTAAAACTGAAGGTGCAGAGCAGGGGCAGAATTGAAGGTGCAGAGCAGGGGCAGAACTGAAGGTGCAAAGCAGGGGCAGAATTGAAGGTGCAAAGCAGGGGCAGAACTGAAGGTGCAAAGCAGGGGCAGAACTGAAGGTGCAGAGCAGGCAGACCCTCAGCAAGCAGTGGCACAGCTCTGTCCCAGACAATTGCTGCCCAGGCACTGGAGACAGGGCAATGACAGGCACACCACAACTGCCCACTCAGCTCAGGGCACCGCTCACAAGGTGGTTTTTCACCATTAGCTACCCTGAACCACTCCTACTGGAGAAATGAGAAATTATTCTGAGGGCTCCCAGCCTTAGTAAACAGCAGGGTCAATCAGGTGATCCAGGTCCTGAGACAGCAAGTTTGGGATGAGAAGATGACTCTTATGAAGTGCCACAGGAGTTTCTGAAAGCACCTCCGGGGTGGTGAGCACTCTGCTTGCACTTTATTTACTGCTGCCTTAGTCCAGGACCTGCAAAACCAGTGCCATGAAGGGGAACACACAATTTAAATTTACCTCATCACCAGGAGCAGCAATGAAGGGCAGTCCTGCACCCTTTGCCACTCCTGATACAACCATGGGATCTCTTCCCACCCAAGGGAGCTCCCCATGGCCCTGCCCCACTCCCAAGGAGGATTTAATCCCCCAGAATCCCAGTTTGTAATGCAGACCTACAAAAGAATTAGGCTCTCCCAAGAGGTGGCATTCTCCCAAGGTCTGGCTGTGAGGATGTGTGTCCCTCCTCATCCTCATCACCTGAGCTCCAGCTGCTCTGCAAGGCAGAGCCAAGCCCAGCCAAGGGGGAACCCAGCACAAGATGCACAAACTCCACACTCTGTACCTGACACAAACAGGGACCAATTGTCCACTCAGTGCAGGTGGATCAAAAGCTCACAGGGACCTTAGAGGGGAGGTAATGACAAAGTTGAAGGCAGGAGAGCTTAGAGGCTCCCCAATTTGTACATGATCAGATTGGACATTCACCAAATCCTGCAGCACTGCCATTCCAACCCTGTGGGCTTGGCTGACCATGCAAAAGAGAGGAAAGTTCATGGGCAGACACAGAACATGAAGCTACTTCAAAACATTCACCTGGGGCAAGCACACACTGCCAAGGCATCCACAAGCACAGGGAACAAAGCCTTTCTCCTCACCCTGGGATCCCACCCCTGCTCTGAGGGCTGCTTTGTGCACAGAGTCCTGCTAGGAGCAGGAACCACAGGCCTAGCCAAGCCTGAGTTAACCAGATCAGCCTTTATCTGAGGCACACAACTCTTTCTGCTCCTGTGTCCTTAGGCCCTGGGAGTCCTGCATTCATGGTATCCATGGCTGGAAAAGGCAAGGCTTCAAAGGATCCAGCCTCAGTCTTGTACAGACTCTGGGAGTCAAGGGAGCACAAGATGGAGATGTGAATCCCTGATGCCAGGAAGGGAGCTGAGCCCAGGCCTGCTTGCAGCAGCCAGTGTCCCAGGGAGCTGCTCCAGGCAGCAAGGTCCCCCCAGAGCACACCCCCAACACCAGGGCACCTGATGGAGCACAAGATGGAGATTTGAATCCCCTATGTCAGCAAGGGAGCTGAGGCCAGGCCTGCTTGCAGCAGCCAGTGTCCCAGGGAGTGCTCCAGGCAGCAGGGTCCCCCCAGAGCACACCCCCAGCACCAGGGCACCTGATGGAGCACAAGATGGAGATTTGAATCCCTGATGCCAGGAAGGGAACTGAGCCCAGGTCTGCTTGCAGCAGCCAGTGTCCCAGGGAGTGCTCCAGGCAGCAGGGTCCCCCCAGAGCACACCCCCAGCACCAGGGCACCTGATGGAGCACAAGATGGAGATTTGAATCCCCTATGTCAGCAAGGGAGCTGAGCCCAGGCCTGCTTGCAGCAGCCAGTGTCCCAGGGAGTGCTCCAGGCAGCAGGGTCCCCCCAGAGCACACCCCCAGCACCAGGGCACCAAGCACTGGAGCTGCCCCTGTGCCTCAGACCCTGCATTTGCTGTGTCCCACCCTGCAGACAGAGCCACAGGGAGGTTCCCAGCCCAGACCTGACCCCCAGGCTGGCACAGGGAGTGCTGGCCCAGGGCAGCAGCACTCTGAGCTGAGCTGGGGCCGGGCCAGCCTGGCTCCCTGAGCCCAGGGAATCCTTATCTCCCTGCTGACACTCCCTGCAGCAGCACAGGAAGCTGCAGGAACACACAGTCCATGGGGGAGAGGGCAGGAGGCTGCTCACCCCTGCCAGCTGCACTGCGGGCACTGAGAGCCTCACACCCCCCTTGTGCTCTGCCTTCCCAAGCAGGGAAACCTCAGCCACAGCCACAGCCACAGGTCTGCCCAGGTGAAATGGGAGCCTTGGTGACCCCTCCACAGAGATCCCTGGAGGCACACCCAGAGCTGAGCTGCTGCTGCTCAGGGTCTCCAGACCCATTTTGGGGTCTTGTCTTCCCCAGACCTTTCCCCCCGAGCAGTCACAGCACAGCAGGGCAGAGATGAACTTCTTAAAGCTTCTGGGTTGGATGCAGAGCTCCTCACTGACGTTTTTAAATCACATTTCTTAAGCAGAACATGCCTAGGAAACTCAATAACATGGATTACAGTATTAAAAGACTATATTCCCATATTAAATATCACTTCATGCTCCATCTTTTCCCACTGCCTGTCAAGACTGAAGACCAATCTTTGCCTCCCACAGCTGTATCAAAGCCCCTCTCACAACACAGATCCCCCAAAGTGCCAAATGAAAAAGGATCACTCACGTGCAGAGAATTGATTGGTCCTCACGGTCTGCAAAACAAGAACAAACATGGTTATAGGGCTTTGCTTACACTGCTCTGCAAGCTGAAAAACAGCTCCTTTTAATTGAGCATTTCTAACATTCATCTTTTCAGTTTAACAATTCGAAGGACACTCTGAAGCAATTTTAATAATGTCCCCGTTTCACATGCACACACCCCTCAAACAACAGCTTGGAAGCTCCTCAAAGTCCTGACATTTCAGATAATTGGTTAAATTTAATCATCATCCACAACAAGGCTTTTAACTATATTTTCAGATGAAGTGGCCCTAACCCTTCTTATTCCGAATGCAGTAAGAATTAAACCCTTACATGAGGAGAAAAGCAGTTTCAGGCACACAACACTGACCAGCACACACTTGGAAAGAGCACTGCCATCTCCAGCAAACAAGTGCTTTCCTCCCCAGCATTTTGTTCTCTTTTTTAAACGAACATGCAGGCCTGAAGAGCTCCCACAATTCAGCTTATTCATGAAAGCCTTGTCTAAAGGACACCCAGGGAAAGCAAAATGCTGCAGCACTTGCTCAGCACTTTGTGCTGCACTCACGACCTTTGGGAGGAACTCCTGAAGGTCAGGTGCAGCCTGCAAGGGCTATTTCATCATGCCAAGAGCTTCACAGAGTGTATTTCAGCACCATATTAAAAACTCTATCATCAAAACATGGGAATACACCTGCAGCAAGAGAACATTTCAGCTGAAGCCTTTCAGAGCAGGCAGGTGCCAGCACAGGCTGAGCCACAGATGCCACCCCTGGCAAGTTCCAGACTGCATTAACACCAAGGATGACAAAAAATGGAGCTGCTTTCTGACTGAAAAATGCTAAAAACATGCAGGCAGCTGTACTTGGAGCCTGTTGTTCAGAAATACCAAGGACCAGGGGTGCTGGCCTGGCCTCTGTGCAGAGCAGCTGCACTGGCTGTGCCTCACCAGGTGAAGCCTGCAGCTGTGGCTGTGTCCTGCAAGCAGCTGAGAGCTCCAAACATCCCTCCTAAGGGTAGCAAACAGCAGAATGAGTGCAGGAGAACTGAACAATGTTAGTTCAGATTATTGAAAGTGGGAGAGAAAAACTCCAAGTGTTGGAGACCCTCCTGACAAGGCTGCAGGGATGCTCCTGGATCATTCCCTACAGCTGCAAGACCAAAGAAAGGAATGGGAAGCCTGGGACTGCAGGAAATGAAAGATGAGAGGGGACAAAAGCAGTGGGAGTATGACAAGAGAAACATTAGTGAAACATTTATTTATGTTCTTCTGGGTTGGATATTGGGCAGCAGGTCCTGCAAGACCTGTCCAAAAGAAGTTTCTGGTGGCAGGAGCAGGGCAGGGCTCAGGTGCACTGGGGTCCTGCAGAGCCAGGAGTGCAGCTCTGAGCCTGGGCTGCTCCCAGGGCAGTGACTCTGTGTCACAGGTATCTTTCATAAAAAATCCTTTCTTAGGGTTTTTCCTTGTGAGAAGCTGCAGTTTCAGCAACCAAAAGTAAACAATGGTTATCTGCTGCTGTGGAATGCAACAGGTAGACCTGGGATTGGTCTCCTGTGCATGTTTGGATTTCCTGACCACTCATGGCAGAGCTGGCTCTTGCTCTGTCTGAGACACAGATCTTTGTTATTCATTCTTGTCTATTCTTAGCTTAGCTAGCTGCTGAAGAAACCTTTTCCTTTCTATTGCTTTTTAGTATAGTCTTAATGTAACATATATCATAAAATAATAAATCAAGCCTTCTGATCATGGAGTCAACATTCTCATCTCTTCTTCATCCTGAAAACCCTTGTGACCACGGTCACAACTCTGCAGCAGCTCTGGCCAGCACGGGCTCAAGGTGACCAGGACAGCACAGACCATTTGTTCTTGCAGGAGAAACAACTGAATGAAAGCCAGGCTGGGACTGTGAATGGAGCTGAAAGTCAGAACTTCTTAGCTTCAGTATTTACTGAGGCATTTCTTTAAAGTGACAGGTTGATTTTCCCCTTCCTTACTTCCCAGAAATAACTTCACCCTAATTTTGGCACTGTAGCTGGGCCATTACCTCAAAAAACACAACCCCCTCTAAACCAGACCTCTTCAGTTTAGCACTTCAAAAACTTAACACAGCTAGATTTGCCTTGAAGTTTAACTTATTTAAGGACAGTGTGAGTTTGTCAATGCTTTGTGTCGTGACATTTGTTACCTGTGCATTCACCATGCAATGCCACTGTGCCACAACACCCAAGGCATACTATAAATGAATCACCTTACCCAACTCAATTTAAAGAAAATCTACAAGCCCAGAAAGTTGCATTTGTTTGCCAGAAGCTCCAGCAAGCACAGACAGCAGTGTGTGCCCGCAGCCCTGATCTCAGGGCTCTCCCCAGAGCAGGGCCAGCACAGGAGCCCTGCCCAGAGCAGCTCCCAGGCACCCAGGCTCGCCCTGCCTGGCTCAGCTCCAGCCACCCTGCACCACACTGATATTTAAAGCACTGCAGATGCCCAGATCCCCCCCACCAACTGACTGGGGATGAATGGGAGGAGGCATCTGGAGCTTCCCTGAGTGAAGTGCCCAGCCAGAAAAGCATTTTTGGAATTCTCACTCATTCACAGACCTAGTAAAACAATTCCACAGGTGCCTTACCTGCTTTGGGCTTTAACCTCTCTCTGATTGCAATTCCTACCAAACAGTGGCTTTTATACAGACACTGACTGTCTCATAATCCCTTCTTTAATGAAACAAGTGTGCCAGGGTGAAAAAAGTTAAAATCTGCTTTCCCAGCTCAGGCTGGAGGGAAAGCAATGGGCCAGCACACATGCACCCAGCAGGACAGTAGGCAGAGGAAAATGGGTCTGATTTGCAGGTTATCATTGGTCCTTCCTCAAACCCAAGCACAGAATTCCTGTGGATCATCCACTCTGGCACAGCCTTTCCTTTCCCTGGCCAGAGCAGTGATCAAATGCCACCCCCTTTGCTGGAGCTGACGTAAAGAAAATTCCTGCTTTTTTGGGAGGTGGAGGAGGCAAGTTCTTTGGCATTTCTCAAACAGGAGAAATCAAAACCATTGGCTTTCTAAAAGGAGCCCTGTGCAGGGAGCAGAGAGAGGGCTCCTGTTTATTTGTGGGTGGTGTTTCATGCCCAGGTGCCACTCAGCCCAGCCCAGGAAAAGCTCCCTGGCTCCTGTTTGTTGTGGATGCAGCTCCAAGGAGCTGCTGTGTGTGTGCCCTGTGCTCTAGGTGAACAGGCTCAGATATCAATCTACCCAAGGTCATTTAAAAACTGCATTCCTGACAAGGTCTGTGAAAACAGGGCAGTGCCTGGGGGACAGGGACCTTCCCAGCAGCACAGATTTGCTGCTGCCAGAGCTCTCCCAGGCCTGCTCCATGAATGCCACATGACAAGGAGAGCACACGGGTGTCCCCAGCCTGCCACTCCTCAACTCCAAGCTCCCAGTTATTGTCTTGTTCCTATTTTCCTGCTGGGCTGATAAACACGGGAAGAGATCTGGTTACAGAGATGAAGCATGCCTTTATAATTTGTGCTTGCCTTTAAAATGTTGCCTGGTTACTCCCTAAACTATCATCAAACACTTAGCACTGTGACAGTGACTCCCAACAAACACCCCTGCCCAGAGCCAGCAGCAAGAGTGACAGGCACAAGTTGGTTTGCTGGGCACCTACCAGGCCAAACGTGCCCTGACACACTGGTGAGCACCAGGAGAGTTATTCTGCATTATCATCTCTGGTTATTCTGCATTTCACCTCCATGGGCAGCTCATCCTCCTCAGTGCTTGGGATCTACCAGGCCAAATGTGCCCTGACACACTGCTGGGCACCATGAGAGTTATTCTGCATTATCATCTCTGGTTATCCCACATTTCACCTCCATGGCAGCTCACTCCCTCCTCAGTGCTCTGACCTACCAGGCCAAACGTGCCCTGACACACTGGTGAGCACCAGGAGAGTTATTCTGCATTATCATCTCTGCTTATTCTGCATTTCACCTCCATGGGCAGCTCTTTCCCTCCTCAGTGCTCTGACCTACCAGGCCAAACGTGCCCTGACACACTCCTGGGCACCAGGAGAGTTATTCTGCATTATCATCTCTGGTTATTCTGCATTTCACCTCCATGGCAGCTCACTCCCTCCTCAGTGCTCTGACCTACCAGGCCAAACGTGCCCTGACACACTGGTGAGCACCACGAGAGTTATTCTGCATTATCATCTCTGGTTATCCCACATTTCACCTCCCTGGCAGCTCATCCTCCTCAGTGCTCTGACCTACCAGGCCAAATGTGCCCTGACACACTCCTGGGCACCAGGAGAGTTATTCTGCATTACCATCTCTGCTTACCCCACATTTCACCTCCATGGCAGCTCAGTCCCTCCTCAGTGCAGCTTTGCAGCTTCCCAAAGCCAGGGCAGGAATACATCAGCAGGAATAAATAGATAAATAAAGCCAGCCTGCAGGAACAAACCAGCACTGTGTCCCCAGTGACCCATCCAACACTCCAGGGAGCTCTGCAGGGAGCAGGACGCTTGCTAATAACACAAAAATGATATTTCGAGTTTTAACGCCTAAATTTCACCAAGTTTAAAGTTTTAAAGAAGCTGAACCTGCACATGCCAAGGCACCTGATGTGACACACCCAGCAGTGCTGGGCAGTGTCACTGTCACCCTCCTCGGCAGGGCTCAGGTGACTGCAGGATGGAAACACCACAGGTGTCTCCAAGAAAGGTGAGCAGGCTCATTGCACGATCCTTCCAGCAGCTGAAATTCTCTGGGACACTCCAGGAGAAGCCATCTCTCTTGGTGCACCCTCAGGCTGCATTTCTTTTCTTTCTTCTTGCCTTGTCATCACCAGCTCATTCATATCTTGGTGGGGTTTTACATCCAACCCTTATTGCTTCGAAACTGTCAAACAATGGACTCACAGAAATTCTCATTCTTTGTCCTAAAAGGTGTAACATGAATTGATACCAATTCAGATGCAGCCCACTCCTCGTGGGTATCCAGTGGCTGTAAGT